TATATATATATATATATATATATATATATATATAGATCACACACACGCACATATATTATATACACATACATACACATATATATTATATACACATACATACACACACACACACACACACACACATACAATCTGTTTTAAATATTATGCAATGCATTAATTTATTGCATGAAAATGGTTTGCTATTTTTGTACATTACCCATTTACAGTTGCAGTTCACAAAGGAGGGACTTCATGCTGAAAGCGTCACCCCAGCCTGTCTTACAGGCTTTCTCAGAAAGAGGCTTAACTTTGGCCATATGTAGGATATCAGGGTGCAGATCCACTAATGTGAGAAAATAAAACATAACTACTACCAGAAAATGTTAAATAAGTTAGTATGTGATTGAGGACAAGGCAAGTACAAAACAACAATGAACAACAAACGTTTCACATGTTTTTTGTGGCGTTTCCATTTATTATTTCCATATTTTCAGATGTAACATTTGGTTGTTGTTTTTTTTGCACCACATTCAGCAGACAAGCTTATTTATTTATACATATTTTTATATATTTATTATACTTTTATTTTTATTAATATATCCTATACATATTTTTCTAAGAAAAATAATGAAATTACTTAAAAACTGTATTCTTTTAATGAGATTTTTTTCCTTTGTTATTATATGGAAATCAAGATATCTTGTGTATATATTTATGTATACAGACAGACAGAGTACCTCTTCTGGGATTTGTCAGAACCTAATGAAAAAGGCAAATGTTTACCTGACATGCATCCATTCCACCGGCATCCGCTCCGGCACACATCATATTCTCAAGCACTTTCCCTCTGTAATATTTGTTACATGCTTGCGGCTCAAAAACAGTTACATTGACCTCTTGAAGTCCGGAGGCGCGAGGCCCATCTATAAAGAGACAAATTCATCTAATCGCACATAACCATTACTAATGAAACCCATTCCACAGGTTATACAGAACAAGGTTAATATATTCCTGCTAATTAGGGCCTTACTCTCTCTGATGGCGCCCCAGCCGGTGACAGTACAGGTTTCCTGAGGGGGCAAATCACTGTTTAAGATGGCAACAGGCCTCACACACTCATTAAACAGCAGGGGATTCTGCAGTTTCACCAAGGCAATATCATTCTCGTTTGTCTTTTGGTTGTAGTCCTTGTGGGAGATGATTTTTTCCACCTCTACGGTCTTTAAATCAAACACACAAGAGAGTTACACAAATTAAAATGAGACAACTTAAAAGATCCACATAAGAAGGGAGTGAGATGTAAATGCACACAGACACTCACTTGATGGCAGGATTCATTCATATTCTCCAAATTGTGCATTCCAACCACGGCGTTCCACAGTGACGCCTTTTTATAACTGTTCATAAACATGAATTTTAGTTTGTTTTTAAAAAAAATATATGTTTAGTAATTTTTTTAAACATTACAAACATAACTTAAAATCAAACAAGAGAACAAGACAGAAAATAGAAAAAGAGAAAAGAGGAAAAATGAAATAAAATCAAATAATAATAATTATTATTATGGCTCACCACTCCAATAAATCAATCTGAGAAAGAAATGAAATGGGGAATGACATAATCGTACAAACAATGTTTTACATATTTATACTCCAATATGCCTCACATATTTAAACCTCATTAAACAAACCCTCCAATAAGAATAGAGGATATTTAAGCCCATATAAAATATATCAAAAATGGATCCCACCTTCTGTGAAATATGACAGCTCTGCTATAAGAAGCGCAGGTTAACAATCTAATGATACATATTCAAGTATAACCCTATGCCATAGTGCCTTTGAAGGGGCTTTATCCATTAACCAGTTCAAAAGGATACAATTTCTTGCATGAATTTTAGTTTTAAGACACATATGTGACCCTGGACCACAAAACCAGTCATAAGTAGCACAGGTATATTTGTAGCAATAGCCAACAATACATTGTATGGGTCAAAATTATTATTTTATGACAAAAATCATAAGGATATTAAGTAAAGATCATGTTCCATGAAGATATTTGATAGATTTCCTATCATAAATATATCAAAACTTAATTTTTGATTAGTAATATGCATTGCTAAGGACTTAATTTGGACAATTTTAAAGGCGATTTTCTCAATATTTAGTTTTTTTTTTTTGCACCCTCAACTTCCAGATTTTCAAATAGTTGTATCTCAGCCAAATATTGTCCTATCCTAACAAACCATACATCAATGGAAATCTCAATTTAAAAAAATTGACCCTTATGACTGGTTTTGTGGTCCAGGGTCACATATTTGCACTCATAGAGGTTTTATAGACCACTGAAACTACTGTAGCTTACCGTTTGAAGCAGTGGCAGGCGGTAATAACCCACTGCAGGTCGAGGATGGCACCCCCGCAGGCTGGCATACCTGAGTACTGCAGGGAAACCTGCCACGGCCATGAATGCGCCCATGCCTCCTGCCCACCTATAATCCGGCTCTCCTCCTCATCCTTCTCTGGGATAAACGCACGTATGCCAGCCTGGTCTGGAAAACAGTGCGAGTAATCATATGTGCAAGCCAGCAGATGAAGAACGCATTATGAACTCAGCCTTACCATAACATCCATTGCCAAAAATGCAGTTTGTCTCAGCTGAAGCGTTCACATTAGGATTCTCTTCAGCATCTTAAAAGAAATATTACGTTATATATAGTAGGAAATCCATGAGCAAACCAAGTTATTCACATTTTGGGTAACATGATTTCATCATAACGACCAGCTTGTGACATGCTAGTCACGGAGTCTCACCAGGGTCAGCTTTGGTCCAATGAAGAGAGAGTATAAAAATAAATAAACACGTTTTACACATGCTCACAAATGTGTTATTAAAAATGCGAGGAGAAGCGAAATAATACAAAGACAACAACACGAAAAGCAAATACAATCCCTCAACACCTGGCGCAATTAGCGTTTAATTAACAGAGTGGAGCAGTTCGGAGTTTCACCACTAGAGGTCAGCAAAGATCCAAGCTCCTACACTTGAACTACTGGGGATTGAAAGCGTTAATTACTTTCATGTTTTGCACGACAAATCTTCCATCACTGTAAAAATCTGTCGATATTATATTTATAATGTACTGTTGAAAATACGTGCAGAAATTCAAAGTGAGTCCGGCTACAATCACACGGTTTAAAACGTGTTTTGGTTAAACTACGCATAATGAACAATGTTTTTATTACAAATTTTCATTGTTTTACAACAGAATGTGTCTCATATGCAAAAGCCAACCATATGCATACTGTATCATTCACGCAGACAACTCAATTTAAAACAAGTCACTATAGTCTGTGACCACTAGCCTACTGAAAAAGCTTCAGTTGCATCTTTTCATTATGAAACCGTTATATTTCCAGACTTAAAAATCTTTTTACATACTCACATTTTTTTTGTGTATTCTCATTAAACATGGTGTTTCAGAGCATCACTAAAAGCAATATTTACACTTGTAACATGTTTACATATGAAAAAGCTGTTTGTCTTGTTCAAGATCATGCAGGATTCTCCCATGTACCAATGTCTGAGATTAAAAATATTGTTAGGTTAGATTAAATCAAATGTGAATAATATTAATATTGGAAATTCAGTTGAAGGAGAGACTGTGTTGCTAAATCCGTTTCTATATCAGATCTGTGTGTATTTTAATGATGATTTTAAAACAGTGGGATGTATGCCGAATTACAGAACAATGCATTTCTGTGTGTATGAGTACTTTAACACCTGGCCTTGGACAGCTATTTTGATAAAAAGTTATTGCAAACATAATTGCCCACCCAGAGCAATATCAACATCTCCAAACACAACAACACATTCACTGGTATTGGATAATATTTATTAAATAATCATACATTACTTCACATTGGTTTCTGCTATGACATGTTTAGCACGGCTGCTGCTTCTGCCGAATTCAAGAAATGTTCTTGATAACAGTTCCTATGGCAACGAAATGTAAGTGCAAAGATTATGGTGTAATCAATAGTACCGCATGACAAATTCCGGCCACCCAAAATATGACTAAAATCCACTTAATGACTAGTTCAAGGATATGTCATTAGGTATGATATTCGTAATTCCAATTTAAAGAGACTTCAGTATTATAGCTTATGAGGATAAAAATGATATGTAATTCACTGCACAGGTCAATATGCCTTTAGTCCAAGATACATTCCACAATATTGATGCATGTACAAGATAGACGAGATCGAATTAAAGCACATGATGAACGACATTTTTTCCTTCATTTAAAAGTCATCATGTGAAAAAAACAAAACAAAATACAAGCAGACCACCCACAACAGATCAGCCGTGCTCATGGAACACAGTAGACAGCTAGTCATATTTGATAACTCGCAGCGTTTGTCTGAAATGCTTTCTGAGGTTTTGCAATCAGCGAAGCGTAACGGAGCTGCAGTGGTCGAGGGGAACGGCTCCGAAAAAAAATCCCTCTCAGAGATGGTGCCTCTGCTCCGATTCAAACAAGAACAACAAACGCTCAAATAGTGCTTGGGACGACACGTGGGAAAAAAATGATGAGAACTTGTGAAATATGTTGCTGTGAGATACTGCAGTGATGTGTTGAGGTCAATGGTATCTGCGTGGTCCAGCCCTGGATGTAGAGGCTAAAACATTCAGTCTTTTGGATTAGTTCAATCCGAGAGGCTCTCTGTAAACTCTGGAGGGGAAGGAAGTGGTTATTAATCATCTCCCGAGTCCAAACCGTAGTTTGCATGTCTTAGTTCGCCCCCTCTCTTCACCCTTCTGTCTCTCGGTTGCTTGTCCTTCATCATTTGGCCGATAGTTCAGGTCACTCTTTTCCTCTAGGCCCCTTGGAGTTTTTTCTCTAGTCTGTCCAGCTTGGCCAGGTTTTCCTTCAGCAGTTTGGAGCCGGGTGAGAGGAGAAGAGCTCTTTGGTAGTACATTCGTGCTGCTGCATAATCTCCCTAAATAAATTACAAAATTAAATAGCGCACAACAGTTCAGGTTACAATGGCGTGAGGAAATGTCCAGGTCATATTTCATCTAATCAAAAGGAATAAATAAGAATTGAAATATGCATAGTGAGAGTTTTGATCATACTTTACAATAAGGATTGCATTTGTTAACACAAGTTACTGTAAATATACTTCTAAAGAATTCATTATTCTTAGTTAATGATAAATACAACATTTACTATTACACTAGTAAAATCAAAAGTTGTTAATATTATTTAATGGACCTGAGCTAACAATGATTAGGAAAGTATTAGGAAAGATTACAAATGTTTTGCTCATTGTTACTTCATGTTGGTTATCGTATTGACCTATAATAACTAGTAGGATGTGTCGAAAAAGTATCACCATCATTTTATTAAAAATTAAGCACATTCCCTCCTCATTATTAAAAAATCTCTCATTATTCTTGTAATGCAGTAATAACACTTTTTTTTTTTTTGTACATTTAGAATAATTTTTATTTTTTAATGGTTTTAACAAAATGTGACTAAATTATTAATATTTTAGCATTATTTTTACGCTTTAAATTATAAATGCGTGAAATAATTTATAATTTATGCATTTAAATAAATTATAAATGTATGCTTAATTATAATTAAAAGATACAAATTATGTTATGAAATTTTGTAACTCAAGAAAATGTATCTGATTTCAAAAGATGTTCATATAAAATGAGAGTAGTGATTCAATTTATTTATTTTAAAAAAAATGTTTTCGTGTTTTACATATTTTTATATAGCTTATTAATTATTTAATATTTAACTTTTAATTATTAGCATTATTTTATTTTACTTAAAAAAAAAATTTAGTATTTAATTTGTATTACTAGGTATCATAAAATGCCATTATTATTATTTATTATTCATATTAATATTATATTAATGTGAATACATTATTATATTTATATAATGTATTATTATGTCTTCCTTCACATTACAGAAATAGTAATTAATTTTACAAGCTACTGAGAACACATTATCACAAAAATAATGTCACAATTATTTATGGTCATATATTAATATATATAACATTTTTTATAATGCATCATTGTGTTTTCCTTCACATTACAGTAATAGGAATTTGTTTACAAGCTTCTGAGAATATATTATCTTGAAAATAACGTCACAGTTATTTATGGTCCTAACGAAAGGCTTCAGTTTCTGAATGCAAACTATTTCTTTCTTTGAGCAGAACAAAGTTTTCATCAGCCCTCAAAATTCAGCCCTCATACCTTGATATGCTGAATGCCGCCCATATTCATCCAGGCTTGTGATTGGTCAGGTTTGAGCTCAACAGCAAGCTTGTAGCTCTGGAAACATTAGATCAAGACATGACATTTTATATACAGGATATGTAGCCAATGATGATTTCAACAGCAGTAAACCACCAGTGAGAGTCAACCTTTTATAACAGTTTTGGCCTGTGTAAGAAACACGATCCATTCAAGATAAAAAAAAAAAAAGCACTGGAGGCGCATTTAACAGTCTGGCTCTACCGCAGATGTGGTTTTGAAATACCACAAAAAGCCTTTTTGTTATAACTGAGCTTTGAACTGGATAGCAGAATTATGTAAACCTGAGACCAGCCTGTTCTCGTCTGTCCTTTTGTGGTCTAAATAAAAGTAGAAGCACAGGCCAAATATTAGCGGGAGACCTGGAATGAGTCCAGGATCGAAAAACGCAACCAAAACAGTCCTCATGTTAACCAGAAATCCTGTCGAAGAAACTTAGCCCTCGTAAGGCAGCCAGGAAGTAGAGAAACACAGAGGATAAAGACAAAGCTTCCAGTGCGAGATGAAGTCTGGACTGTTTATATTTGGAGATGAAAGGAGGTGGGTGATGTTCCTTTGACAGTTTCAGGGCACCGGCAAGGAACAGTGTGAACTGTGAAGGTGAGAGAAGCAGCAGAGAACACAATTATCCAACATTTAGTCTCATGACTATCAGCAAAACTGATCCATATTCCACCTTATTCTGACTGAGATTTAAACAGGAAGGGACCTGACTGACATGTCAAACAACCAATCACAGTCTTTTGTGTTTATTGTAATGGATATAACCCTGAAACCAAATTGATATGCATCTTGACAAGTACGTATTTGCTCTGAAAAGGCTTTAAAGGTACATTTTCAGTCAAAGGAACAATCCCACTGTAGCCAAATATTCAATTCAAAATGTTAAAAGCAGTAAAATTCAGTAAAAATCTAGTTAAAGATAATCAAAACGTAACAAATATCTAAGATGAGAAAAACCAAATCATTAAAAAAAATAAAATACATGTAGGTAAGCATGCTCATCATGAAATAAATAATCTAACAGTGAAGAAGTTATTTTCTGTATGAACTGCATTTCTGCATATATTTAAAATAAGTTCTCAACACTGTAAAAAAAATCTTATAATTATTTTAATGTATTGAAAATGCAGTCCAAAAACTTTTTTTTTAAATTCTGAAAAAAAAAATCCCTCCCCCCCCCATTTTTTACATATTAGCATTCTTTTTTGCTTTAAAAAGAAAATACACACACACACACATTCATGTTGATATATTTAAATAAAGTTATTGAGTATAAATGGTCATAAAAAATATTTACGGTCCTAAGTTAAGACTTTATTTTCTCTATGGGAATATTTCTTTCTGAAAAATACTATGCTTTTCATAGAAGTTAAAAAGTAAATCAATCAATTTGAAAAACAAAAAATAAGCCTCAAATCTTATGCTTAGAGGACTGATAAAAACCTGTATGTCTTTACTCTTAGATTTTGTAGAAATCCAGACAATCAAATTAGAGCTTTCCATTTGGGTAAAGCTCTTGCAATTTTTGTGTGCGATATGCATCAGTCGGTCCGTGAACTGTCTATAGGCAAGCTAAGATATAGTAAACAAGAATGTGAAGAAAGGGAATATTAGAAGAGCTCTTCGCTCACACTGACAGCTGCAGGTGAAGTTACCTGGAAGGCTCGATCAAGCTCGTTCATCTCTCTGAGCTGGTTGCCCATTGAGAAGTGCAGCTCTGCCCTCACCGCAGGGTCTGACGGCTCCTGCTGCAGTGCTGCCTTCAATGCATCCAACGCCTGAAACACACACACACACACACTCATTAATCTGAACTTCTTTTTCCTGAGTTTCTTTGTCTCTCAGGAGGCATAGAGATTTCTCTTTGAGGCAGAGAACCGCTAAACTGAGTAATAAAGTAATGAGTAAAGGCATGAGTAATAAAAAGAAATTACATGCAATTTATTCTAGTCTAGGACGCCTCACTGAGATTCAATAAAATGTTCTTTGAACTGCCGAATGCAGTGGCGAAATTGGACACGGGCAAAATTAAGATCCGGGATGAACTGATTCACAGCAACAAATGAGATGAAAAAACCTTGTGTTTGTGTTTTCCATTTTAGTACAGGGGTAATAAAAGAGAGTGCGCATGAATTGACGAGCACAAAGACATGTACACGCACCTCAGTGTGGTTGCCTTGTTTGCTGTAGATGGCAGACAACAAGCGGTAACATTCAATGCAGTTGCTGGTCTTTGAAATGATGCCCAGGGTCATTTTCTCGGCCTCCGCAGAGCGACCTGCCATGGCTAAAACCTGTGCCTGTGGAGACAACGAGATGGGAAGAGACAAAACGAGTTATAAAAAGGAAAGAGGGAATGAAAGAGCAACCAGAAAGGAACCCGAGAGGTCCCGGCCTCTGTATGTGAATCACAGTGAAGGGTCTGTGGAGACTCAATTAAGCTGACATTCTGCGCTTTGAAACACTCCAAGCAAACCGTTTTCAAAGACCAATGCCAATGCTGACAATTAAAGGGATAGTTCACCCAAAAATGAAAAATTGCTGTTAATTTACTCACCCTCAGGCCATCCAAGATGTAGTTTTTTTGTCAGTAGAACAGTAAAGAAGCTGAAACCCGTGGTCCTTGGTGATTCATAAACTCAAAGTCAGCGGCTGCACGTTTTTTTTTTATGATCAACTTTTTATTGTCTTTCAAATATAAACAAAATAACATAATTGGAACAAACAGTTAGGGAAGAAGGAATAACAGACATATTGCTAATAATTTGACAGTCGGACAGGAAAGAAAGAAAAAAATAAAAATAATAATAAGCAACAAAAAAAAAAGAGTTACATTATGTAATCATTATTCCTTAACATAATCCAATAAATTGGAAGAAAAATATTGCCAGACATCAATAGTCCCAGTTTTAGCCTTATTTACTGCCGTAAACCAGGGAAAAACATTCTATTTTGTATTAAACTTGCACAGAAGTCAGAGAGCGGCTGCCCATTTTTGAGAATAATAAAAAAAAGCATATCAAGGAACACAAAATTAATACCTGTGGCTCCTGACGATGTATTGAGGTCTTATGAAGCAAAATGATCGCTCTGTGCAAGAAACTGAACATTATTTACTACATTATTACCTGTAATCCATAGCCTCAGGCAGTGGGGAAATCTGATTCTTTTTCTGTAAACTGGTTCTTTTGAACAGTTCGTTTCTATTAACTGGTTCAGTTCATTAGTTCATTTACGTAATCATACAATGACGTAATGTATACATAACTGAGTTATTAAAGCACCCAACAATGATGTGAAAGGTGGATGTTTTGCATGTCTAAAGCATAAAAAAGCGAATAAACTAGCCTTCAGTTCACCTTTTTACATAAAAAAACTCAAAACTCCGGACCATTTGCCTGAGGCTTCGGATTAATGATGTTCTAAATAATGTTCAGTTTCTTGCACAGACTGATTGTTACGCTTCATGAGACCTCAACATATCGTCAAGAGCCTTGGGTATTAATTTTGTGTTCCTTGATATCCTTTTTTTTAATTCTCAAAAACGGGCAGCTGCTGACTTGCATTTTCTGAATCACCAAGGACCACAGTTTCAGCTAAAAAGCTGTTCTACTCAAGAAAAAAAAGTCACCTACATCTTGGATGGCCTGAGGGTGAGTAAATTAACAGCAAATTTCATTTTTGAGTGAATTATCCCTTTAAAACAATATCAAACCTAAACATACCTGGTTGAATTGAAAAAAAAAAAAAAAATGAGAAAGGAAATGGTGGGATATTTTTTAGGCTAAAAAGTGACTAATCTCACCAGGGCGAGCCAGATATCAGTGCTGTCGGGCTGAAGTGTGGCCGCCTCTCTGTAAACCTCCAGTGCCTCCTCGTATCTACCAGTGTTGTAGTATAAAGCCCCAAGAGGGGTCAGGATATCCACTTTACGAACCACTTGCAGTGCCCTGTGAGACACACACAAACACACACACCCACCTTAGCTGTGCAAGCTGGATACACCGTTTAGACTATTCGGTTTCATTTGATCTCATCTTACCTTTTGTACCATAGCTCCGCCTCTTTATTGTCATTGGACGAGCGAAGAAGACGACCCAGGTTCACCATGGCAACATAGTGAGATGGCTTGAGACGCACCGCTTCCTGGTAATGAAAGGCTGCACGATCCCCATGACCTAAAACGGAGACAGGTATGTAGGTTGTGTATAATATGTGGTTGACATGAAGCATGTAACATAACACATGTATAGGGCCCTATAATTTCCATGATGTGTATAAGTTCCAAAACGTGGATGGAATCGTGGAATCCAGTCATAAAAACGGAATTTACTCTATAACTCGGAATGTCAAAGAATTTGCCAAATTTTGGGATGGATAAATCAAGAGTAGGTCAGTACACTTAAATCAAGATGCGATATGGACTAGTGTCTGTGAATATTAAGCAGCAAAATACTATTTAAATATGAATCTTGCATGTTCTGCGTGTCTCTGTGTGAATGAATGGCGCAGATGCGCGGTTCCGTTTACTACACACATACTGAAGCGCATGAGGCTTGCGGTGTTTTCAGCCTCTGCCACCTCAAAATATGAACACATGAACATAATCTGTAGAACTGCTCTGAGAGTCACTTCATGAGCATTTTTATCGTCATATCATATACAAACAGAAACCTAAAGGTCTTCACAGCAGCCCGTCAAACTAGCATCATGGCAGAGTTGATCTAATTTAAAGAGTTCTAGAAGTTTCTTACCGGTGTCCACCAGGAACACGCCGTAGTTGTTATGGAGGTCAGAACTGTCAGGGCAGTTCTCAATTCCCTTGGTATAAATTTCATTTGCTTCTTTTGAATGTCCCTACACAAAAATGAGGGAAAAAAATAAGTATATAAAATGTGGCCTTTATTAGGTATTGCAAAAAAACTGACCAAAAAGATCACTTTGTATGTGTATCATTTACAAAAACGAGCACAAATGACAGAGAGCACGACCTGGTCAGCATACAGAGAGGCCAGGCTGGAGTACGCATCAGCAAAATGGGGACCGAAACGAATCGATTCCTTCAACATCCTCTCCGCCTCTTCCTCCTTCCCCTGAGACCTGCATAACAATATCACCATCATCCTCTTCCTCATACACAGGAATGACACAGACACAGAGGCTGTGTCCGAAACTGAAGGCAGCAGCACAAAAAACATGAAATTACTTCTGTGAACCACGACATCAAACGCTATTTTTATCCTTTCCAGCATTCGGTTGTACCTGGGTGCGTTCCAACCTTGGCATATGGCACACAAAAGCAGCATTCTCAGATTTCCGACACAAGTAATATTGCAATAGCGTTTGTGTATTTACTTCAGAAGGCTACCAAATTGTGTATTTACTTCAGAAGGCTAGGCTACCAATAGGTGTATTTACTTCAGACGTTTGTGTATTTTATGGAAGCTTGTTTCCACCACTGAATAAAAGGTAATTGCAAGTTTTCATCTCACAATTCTTACCTTTTTTCTCACAATTACAAGTTTACGTCTCACAATTCTGATGTTTTCTCAGAATTGTGAGTTTATCACACAATCCTGACTTTATACCAATAAATAAAGCCAGTTATAAAGTCAGAATTGTGAGATATAAACTTGCAATTGCAAGAAAATAGTCTTTTTTCTTCATAATTGGACTTCAGAATTGGGAGTTTACATTTCACAATTCTGACTTCTTTTGTCAGAATTGTGAGTTTATATCCCGCATATATAATTTGCTGAGAAAAAAAGTCAGAATTGTGAGATAAAAAGTTATAATTACCTTTTTAGTTTTTATTCAGTGGCGGAAACATGCTTCCATAGTAGTATTTACTTCAGAAGGTTACCAATTTGTTACTTCAGAAGGTAAGGAATTGATGTATTTACTTTAGAAGGTTGCCCAGGTTGAAGAGAGCTCTGTTGTGTTGAGGGTTAATATCCAGCGCTCTCCTGTAATAAACTTCAGCCTCCTCTGCCTGGTGAGTCAGGGTGCCCAGATTATTCAGAGCACTGGCATGTCGAGGGTACAGTCTATACAAAAACACAGAGGCAATTTACGGATTTACATAATCAAATGAAAGCACTGATTCTTAACCAAACGTATGAAGGAAACTGGGGTATTAAGGTGTATTTTGGCAATTGGAAATGCTTCCATCAGCAGACAAAACCATTCAGTGTCAAATTGTTCTCATGCCCACATACACACACTTACCTGAGGGCTGTTTTATAGTGGTAAATGGCTTCTTGGTTTCGTCCCCTGTCCTTCAGGAAGTTGGCATAGTTGTAATGAACTTTAGCATTGTGAGGTAAAGTTTGAATGCCAGACCTGACAGAGAATGAAGAAAACAGATCAGGACCCAGATGTCACAGAGAAAGAAAAAGCTTATCAGTTTGAAAGTATAAAAATCCAAAAAACACTTCATGCAAAATTACATTAAAAATGTAAAAAAATAACCATGGTTATCATAGTTACTAAAGCTAAAACTACATAAAAAGCTTTTGTTTGCAACATCAAAATAGAAATAAAAACAAATAAAAATTATACTGACATATTTTTAAAAAACCAAAACTAATAAAAATGACAAAACACAACAAAATTACAAAAACCTTAACTAAAATTTAAATGAAAACAGATAATATATATATATATATATAAATTGAAATACATGCAAAATGTAATAAATTACATATTTTCATTAAAAACTACTAAAAATTACTATAATAACCACCAGGGTTATTATAGTTAACTAAAGGGGTCATATGATGCGATTTCAATTTTTCCTTTCTCTTTGGAGTGTTACAAGCTCTTGGTGCATAAAGAAGATCTGTAAAGTTGCAAAGACTAAAGTCTCAAATCCAAAGAGATATTCTTTATAAAAGTTAAGAGTCAGCCACACCTACCTAAAACGGCTCGTTCTAACACACCCCACATGTCTACGTCACGATGTGAGAAGATTTGCATAACGCCGCCCAAACGTTCACGCAAAGAAAGAAGGCGTAGGAGAAACAATAATGTACAGTATGTGGAAAATAATGTTTTTTTTTAACCTTAAACTGCATAAACACATTTCATTACACCAAATACACAAAATAATGTTCTTTTTAGCAGCATCATATGACCCCTTTAACTAAAAGCATATAAAAAAAACCCTGTTACTTACTGATATACATAATCTGTTTTAATTAGTTAAAGTTTAGTTTAGTTTAAAATTAGTTAATTTTAGTTAAAGTTTTGTGTGTGTATACACACATGTATAATTCAAAATATTTATTAAAACAATATTAGTATCTCAATGATGCTAAAAAATCACACTGAAAATAGTCAAATATACAAACAAAAAATCTTGGCCAGGAATTCTGGACAATCTAATTAAACCAGCTTAAAATGGCAGCAGGAACTCATTAACCAACTAAGACAGATCAAGATGGTCCAATAGCTCAGCCAGGAACTCATTAACCAACTAAGATAGATCAAGATGGTCCAATAGCTCAGCCAGGAACTCATTTGAGATGTATACATCATCTGAAAGCTGAATAAATAAGTTGGCTATTGCTACAACTATACCTGTGTTACTTATGACTGGTTTTGTGCTCCAGGGTCACATATCATTCATGTGTGTAGCATAAATGCTGAATGACAAAACAAGTAAAAATAAAAGGTAAAGGGTAGGAGTGATTTTTTACCACAAATAAATAAATAAATAAATCTCAGGAAATAAAATAACTACAATTACATGAATTGATTTTAATGAATTAGTAAGTAAATATTCAAAATTACAGAAGAAATGTAAAAGTTTAAGAATCAGATTATACAAAAACATAAACACTAAATATATTACAGGATAATAAATATTGTATAAATATCAGAAATTATTATTGTTTAAATTATGATATTTTTTGTTTAGTTTTATTATTTTATTTTATTTTTTGCAGTGTGGATTGGCTATTATTATCAAACACTAAATATTGTGCTAATTATTGTAACCCTGGTATGATCCACCAGGTAAGAATCAAGGCTAAAGCATTTAAAATTGCAAACACAAACACAAAATCAGACACATCTGTGAATTATATTTGTTGACTTGAGTGCATATTTGAAGGTAATCATGAGAAGGACAAAACGCCCTTCAATCCTTTAGCCACAGGAAAGGGGCCGATCCTATTCCACATCTCACAAAGTTTATTTTCAGACACTGGTGTCACTGTTGACACGGTCAAAAACAGCTCAAGTCAAACACAATTACATGAATCCTCCACACAGAGAATATTACTTACTTACTAGTGTTGAAAAAGACTGTTGAAGGAAAAAAATGAGTTATATCAAATAGCATATTCCCTGGGAATATCTGTTTCATGTTTTTTTGTTGTTACTTATTCAGTGTTTCTGGGGCTTAATTTGGATTCAATATCCTTCCAATCTAATTTTCTTTCTTTGTCTCTATGCTTTGCTTCACAGAAAGTGACACCTCCCTTTCCCGTCAACACCCACTCCTCAAAAACAGAACATATGAGGAATCCTGCGGCTTCACATACACACTTTGACTGCTTCCCACACACACTCACACACTTCTGAAACATGTGGTACATTCACAGTTCAAATGAATTTGTCTAGTAACTTGAACAAGACTTTTACTGAAGAAAATGTGAATGTACTTGCCTGTTTAAAACCTGCATCCACAATGCTAAAGCATTATTTTTGGTTGCTAAAATATTCAGTATTGCAATGCTCTATGATATTTTGGTCTCTAGATATGGTTCAGATTCTTCCTTCTATACAACTCTATAAGATTGTTTTGCATTTTTTACCAAAATAGTCTCAAAGTCAGCATAATGAAAATTCAGGATGAATACAGGACAAATTTTAATACTTGCCTAAGTAAACTAATTTAAATAAGTTTAATATTTAATACTTAGAGTATTTATTTTGCAAGAAGAAAAACATATTTTATAAAGAAATTATTATTATTATTTTTTTGCAATGTAACAATTTTCCCTCCCAGTTCTCAATACTGTATGGCATTTTGTCACTTGCTCACCAAAGGATCCTCTGCAGTGAATGGGTGCCGACAGAATGAGAGTCCAAACAGCTGATAAAAGCATCACAATAATCCAAAAGAAATTCACATGACTCCAGTTTATCAGTTAAATGTCTTGTGAAGTGAAAAGCTGCTCGTTTGTTATAAAAAAAATTCATCAATAAGATGTTTTTAACTTCAAACTGTTTTTTCTTGCTAAAATACGACTCCTCTATCCATAATATTGCTTTCTCCAGTGAAAAATTGTCTTGTCTGAATTAGGAGAGAAATATGCACAGATAAAGCACTGTTTACAAGTGAAAACAGTCCAAAACAGTTCTAAACAAATGTGTTGGTGGATTTTAATTAATGGATTTTAATTATGAGAGGATTTTAATTAATGGATTTTAATATGAGAGGACAACAAGAGATCAACTTCATACTGGAGGAAGCATTATTATGGATTACAAACTTATATTTTAGCCAGAAGCAAGAGTTTAAAGTTAAAATGTCTTAATGATAGATTTGTTTCTTACAAACATGCAGCTTTTCACTTCACAAGATGTTAATTGATGGACTGGAGGTGTGTGGATGACTTGTGGATTTTTATCAGCTGTTTGGAATCTCATTCTGACGGCACCCATTCACTGCAGAGGATCTATCTGGTGAGTAAATAATGTAATACTAAATTTCTCCACGTGTTCTGATGAAAAACAAACTCAGGGTGAGTAAATTTTTAGCTAACATTCATTTTTGGGTAAACTATTCCTTTATTTCTCTTAAAGTCACAATCACAAAAGTCCTTAATAATCCTAATTTCTTTATGCAAAAACAGATTAATTTGAGGTAAATTATAAAATTTTTATGAGACCAAGTATGAGCAATAGTAACTGTGATGTTCCCCTTATATTTTTACTGCACAGACACAATTAAAGTGAATCAGAGCCTGAGAGCAACTCACATTCCTCTCATAGCTTTTCACTGATGTGTGTGTGGCTGCATGTGTATATAAATGATTTGGCCTCTGAGCCGCAGTGCCGCCATCACGTGCCTGACTACGGGTATTAACAAAGACAGTTCTACTAATATTTACCCAGCATGCATAGAGAAGTACCGCCTAAACACCAAGATAAGTGCCCATCTGATCCTAACACAGGCCATTAAATTCACTGAGCAGCACAAACCGCTCATTACTCATAACTAAGTGTACTCAGGGATGTAATGCTGTGTGTACTTGTATTTATGTGTGTGTATGTGGGCGTTTGTCAGGTCACCGCTACTCCGAATAAGATAATTTTTGAACAACCTCTATTAAATGCCTTGCCTCATTGTTCAAATTTCTGTTTAATCTCGACAGTTTAGATAAATACAAACACACACACACACACACACACACACACACACACACACAGATTTATAACAGATCAGTGGTGCATTATGGGAAGCAGGGCTCAAGACAGATTATGTACTGTTATCAGTGGTGTGTGATCCCCACAGCGGGATGAAGGAGAATGAGGGAGAAAAAAATGGAAGTTAAATTTGTAATGCTTTATAAAAAAAAAAGTCAAATGAAGAGCAAGGAATGTTTTCAAAGGACATTTTCTCAGGCCGTCTCAATATATTTTTACGGGCACATCCGCACACACACACACACACACACACACACACACGCACACAAACCTGGGCATGTAGAGAACTCTTTCCGCCACCACAAATCCCACGCGGAAGAACAGATTACTGGCTGGGATGAAGGGAAAGACCAGGAACAGCAGGCCCACCAACACCTCCTTTCCTTTCATCTTCTACACAAAGAGAGAGACGACGCAAAAGTGAGACAGATTGAGAGAGTGACCAGAGGCTGTTTGCTGTTAGAGAAACCAAAAGTTTTCTATATTTCCTGCAGACAATATCAGTGGAGCTTGCCTATGCAAAATCTGCAGCCACACTGTTATTTTGTTGCTAGAGCATTGTTATGATACTCTGAGTTTTTTTTAAATGGTGGCCAAGAAAGCTCAACCTGGTACAACTAAACAAAACACGTGCAAATGCAAAAAACACCAGCAAATTAAGAAAACTTCATCAGCACAAAAACATGTGCCGCAAATACTCACAATGGAAATGTTTCAAGGGGACCCCAACAAGTTGTGAAAGCAAGTTAGCCAGCTTACATAACTCTTCACAGTTAATGGTGTATTTCATCAGATTATTTATGCTAAAAATAACCAAAAGGCTAAGAAATGATTGACCAACAAAACGATAAAGGTCATTGACAACACCATTGACGAGTAGACATTGAACAATAAGCATATCCCAGCCAGATTCATAACTTGTTGGGGTCCCCTTGAAACACTTCCGTTGTGGTCTGTGCTATTTGCAGCATGTTTATGTATTTGGTTGTGAGAATTTGTAGAGCATCTGCATTGTGAGAACTTGCAGCACATTTTTATATTTGGTTGCATTGTATCTGTAGCATATTTCTGTAATTTGTTGTTGTGAATATTTGCAGCGCTATTCTCTATTTGGTTGTTGTGAGTATTTTCAACACGTTTCTGTATTTGGTTGCATTGTGAGTATCTGCAGCAAGTTTCTGTATTTGGTTGTTGTGAGAATTTAACAGGTTTGCATTTGGTTGCATTGTGAGTATCTGCAGCGCGTTTCGGTATTTGGTTGTTGTGAGTATCTGCAGCGCATTTGTGTCATTTTTTGTTGTGAGTATTTGCAGCGTATTTCTGTATTTGGTTGTTGTGAGTATTTGCAACACTTTTCTGTATTTGGTTGCATTGTGAGTATTTGCAGCACATTTCTGTATTTGGTTGTGAGTATCTGCAGTGTGTTTGTATAATTTGTTGTAAGTATTTGCAGCGCATTTCTGTATTTGGTTGTTGTGAGTATTTGCAATGCTTTTCTGTATTTGGTTGCGTTGTGAGTATTTACATTTACTTTTAGTCATTTAGCAGACGCTTTTATCCAAAGCGACTTACAAATGAGGACAATGGAAGCAATCAAAATCAACAAATGATATGCATGTGCTATAACAAGTCTCAGTTAGCTTAACGCAGTACACGTATCAAGGTTTTTATTTATTATATAATAAATAAAAAGAAGACCGATAGAATAGAAGACGAAGAGCAAGCTAGTGTTAGAGGCCTTTTTTGCTTTTGTTAATTGTATAATAAATAAAGAGAAAACAAATAAATAGAATACAAAAAGATTAGAAGTTAGAAAGATAATTTTTTTTTAAAGAAAACAAGCAGTAAATGAATAGAGTGCAAGTCTAAAAGGGACAAGTTTTTTTTAAAGAATAGAATTAGAATAGAGAGTGCTAGTGTTAGAGGGTCAAATAAAGATGGAAGAGATGTGTTTTTAGCTTCTGTCTTAGCCGGGTTGAGTTGAAGGTGATGGTCCGTCATCCAACAAGAAATGTCTGTTAGACATGCTGAGATGCGAGCAGCTATCGTCAGATCATCAGGATGGAATGAGAGGTAGAGTTGAGTGTCATCAGCATAGCAGTGATATGAAAAGCCATGTTTCTGAATGACAGAACCTAGTGATGCCATGTAGACCGAGAACAGAAGTGTCCCTTGCCGGTGTCCCTGCACGGTGGAGTCGCACGGTAGAGTTGATGGTCTTTACACTCTTCGGTCTTCACACGAGGGCTGCTGCGGTATACTAACCTTTTTTTTCCCGTATGACAACTTCAGCACGTCTCAACACAGTAAACAAAACGAACGTTTCCTAGCAACGACAACTGCGCTAAACACTAATGAGACAAGAAATAAATACACTTATTTGTATTTACAGTATTTGCAGCACATTTCATTATGTGGTTGTATTGTGAGTATTTGCAGCACATTTCTGTATTTGGTTGTTGTGAGTATTTGCCGCGTGTTTCTGTATTTGGTTGTTGTGAGTATCTGCAGTGTGTTTCTGTATTTGGTTGTTGTGAGTATCTAGAGTGTGTTTGTGTAAATTGTTGTGAGTATTTGCAGTGTGTTTCTGTATTTGGTTGTTGTGAGTATCTAGAGTGTGTTTGTGTAAATTGTTGTGAGTATTTGCAGTGTGTTTCTGTATTTGGTTGTTGTGAATATTTGCAGCAAGTTTCTATAATTGGTTGTTTTGAGTATCTGCAGCAAGTTTCTGTATGTGGTTGTTGTATTTGCAGCGCGTTTCTGTATTTGGTTGTTGTGAGTATTTGCAGTGCATTTCTGTATTTGGTTGTTGTGAGTATTTGCAGTGCATTTCTGTATTTGGTTGTTGTGAGTATTTGCAGCGCATTTCTGTATTTGGTTTTTGTGAGTATTTGCAGCACGTGCTCTCAAAATGAAGATGTATTCTGAGTGTTTTTTAACTGAGTTGCTATGAGGTTGTTAGGATGTTACTATGAGGTTGCAATGTTTTTTCTGAGTGGTTAACTGGGTTGCCATAAGGTTGCTATGGTATTCTGGGTGAAATGTATAGAAATGAAATACACAAACATACAGAACACACACACACACACACACACACACAAAACATACTTCATACATGACTGACACGTTGTTTACTGTCTGGGCAATATTTCCACTACTAAGATGGTCTTTACTACACTGCTATTGAGCTCCCATACCTTTATTACTGTTATTTGAGTGTGTATCCTTGAAATATGAGCTAGAGTTGTTTCTATTGATGTATAAGTTCATTAAATATGACAGCAGAGGAATAAAGGGTCGATACAGAGATATGAATTGGATATGAAATGTAAGGTAGAACAAGAGAGGTTGGGGGGATGAAATCATAACTGTATCATGCTCGGTTTACTTTCAATAGACCGATATGCTGATAATAAACAATAAAACCGAAGCCACTGTCTGGAGGTTCACTCTCATATCCACAGACAGGATATGAATGTTTTAATATTGATTTCTGTCTTCCAGTCCATCAGAAACTTTAATTAACTTCAGATTCAGCAACAAATGAGCAGACATGCAATGACTGTGTCAAGATATAAACAAAAGCTTGTATAGAAATGTGCTGATATCATTCACGGCCACAAATCATTACTATCGACTTGCTCTCGGGCCTTCGTGTGTTTTTGTGTGTTTTGCATGAGATAATTAGCCTAGTAAACATTCCTGCGGAGACAGATTGGAAAGTCATTAGGGTGAATCATTGGCACACAGCTCCACGCGGCTGATCGGGGGAGGCCTGCCAAAAGACGCACATGATAAAGGCGTGGCCAAGCGTGGTCATGTGGCTATGGGAATATTTCAGTGACAGGGGAAGCTAAACATTTTAATTTCAAGTTTCTGGTGTCAAATAGGATGTTGTTTAGGTTCAAAAGTGTAAAATAACACTGACTACTAGCTGCCGGGTTTATATCACCTCAGATGACCTCAACCAGATTGGTAAGTCGTATAACAGGGAATGATATTCATTTTTCTGATAATATACAGGCCATTTTGTAGTGTTATTAATTTACTATATATTCAGTTTTCATTTAAGTGTTAGTAATTTTGATGAACCAAACAAATAAAAATGACAATAGCATCTAAACAAAATGACTAAAACTTAAATGAAAACTAAATATATAAATATGGAAAACTATATTCAGTTATGAAAAACTATATTCAGTTTTCATTTAAGTTTTAGTCATGTATATGTATACATACATATCTATATATCTCTATATATATATATATATATATACACACACACACACACACACACACACACACTGCCGTTCAAAAGTTTGGGATCAGTAAGATTTTTTATGTTTTTTAATGGAGTCTCTTGTGCTCATCAAGGCTGTATTTATTTGATCAAAAATACAGAAAAAAAACTGTAATATTGTGAGATATTATTTCAATTTCTGATATTGATTATTTTATTTGTTTGGTTCATTCTATTAGTCTTTTATATTTCACTTGAGCTTAATTTATATTTAACTACTGTATATTTTTAGTAATTTTAGTACTTTAACTTTATTTACTTCAGTATCAACATTTCTAATTTGCATTTAAGAGAGAGAGAGAGAAAGAAAATTATTAACTATTAAATATATTTATCTGTCTATCTATGTATTTGTACAATTAGGTACAGAAAATCCATTTGATTTCTGTGTGTCCATCATTACAAACAGAAATTGAAAGCAATGCAAACACAAGCAGAGAGAGACGCAAAACCAGACAACACTCATATACACAGAGCCTAAAAGCTTATGTTTTTCTGGGAAATATTAGAGGGCTAAAGCTGGGTCATGAGAATGATGATAGCTTTGGCATTATCCTTTTCGCCAGTTGCCATCTGTTGTCATGGCAGCACAAACAGAGGTCATCCGCAGCCTGTCCCAAAATGTCACTGGGCCAAACTCCATTCAGTGGCCCTCTATAGACTAACACCTCTCTCGCAGCTCTGCGCTTTCATTCTGCTTCTTCCCCTCAGTCCTTCATTTATTCCTTTCACCTTGGCTTTTTTCAGTCCTTCAGATACTTTCTATCATTATTCTCCTCCCTGATAGTTTTGTGAAAATACAAGATGCTATAAATAGTCCTTAATAAAAAAAACAAGGTCCAAAAATTAGGTTGAAAAGTCTGAGGGCACTAATGAAAATTCTTCTATACTTGCATTTTTGAAATTTAATGCACATTTTAATTTAATATTACAATTTGATTGAAAATTCATATATGTTGCTCATGTGACTAGCATGGTTTGAGAATGATTTAAAGAGCTTCAATGAAAGCAAGAACATCTGACTGTCTCTACAAAGGAGTCACATGATCATGACACAGATTTGCTTGATAATGTTATTATAGTATTACTTATATACTATTTAGCTAATTAGCTTAAATTTTTGTAATTAGCTCAAATAGTTTTAGTTTACAATAACCACACTGTTGGTCACAAAAAGTGCACAATATATCAATATGTTACATATGTCATAATGTTTCTTTATCGTAAAATGTTCTAAAACTGCAAGTTTCTTTCCAGGTTTAAATCCCTTGTGGACTTTTGGACCCTAGTGTATACAGAACAAGTTTGGACTGGAGGATCATTTCACTTGTGAAACATTCATAGAATATGAAATCTGAGATTGTTGTCTCTATAAACTGAATGAGAAAACCAGGTTTTTGTGAATGTTTCATCGGTGGCCGAAGCTCTCAAGGCCTCAAAACCTTGAATGCTTTGCTATTTTCTTAAATGTTTTTTTCTTGCACATGGGCTTTTTTGGGTCATTCGCTGAATAGAAAAAAAAGTAATAAATCAGAACAAAAGATTCAAACCTGCATGTACTGTATCACGAACACACCACCTATTATGTCAACTTACGACCAACACATAACAAATTAAAAATATTGGTGTATTTGAGAATAATGAACAAATAAACACGCATTATTTAGGCATATTAAAAAGTTTTAAAGTGCTTAATGAAGGTCTTTGACTGCAACGGCAAAATTTTCAAATGCCTGAAGATACTCTATTTTTTCCAGTGTCTTTGATGCTAAAATCACATTCATATGCCATATGAAAATGATATAGAGATGAGCAGAAATAATTGCCTGAAGAACTGATAAAAAAAGGAAGCATCTCACTTCATGCACAATGTGTACATTAGCTCACGGCAAACATCTGCTTCATGCGAGCGTTTGCACTCATTTACACAATCGCTGCTATTTTTCAAGGGTTGCCATGGCGATGAGTCGGAAGAATTGCATTGGGAGAGAAGAACGATACAGAACAGCGGGGTGTGAGACAGCACGACCGAAGGCTTTTATGTCTATCGAAACGAGAAAGCTACGTTTGCGTGTGTTTTTCATAAATGATGACAGAACGAATCTGTGGAGACGCGGTTCCTGCGGTTGTCTTGACATGTGTGTGTGTGTGCGCTCACCTGTAGGCATGTAACACAGTTCAGGATCAGCGCCAGCATGACGAGAGCCAAAGCCAGGGAAGCAATATTCCGTCCGTCCCACAGAGACTCCACTAACGGAATGCTGCCCACCTGTCAATCACAACTCAAGCAATCATTAAACATTCCATGAAATGTTGCAACTGCTGTGTGTTTATGTTGATGCCATTTACCTGCCAGTCGTAGCAAAGCACTATGGGAGCCAGTAGAAGCCAGGCATTGAAGGCGAGCAGGTAGCAGTATGTAAGAAACCTAAATTGATAGCAAAGAATATAGCATTTAATTTATTAAGTGAATAAATATAAAGTTTAAGCCTTGTGCTGTGCTTAACCTAATTTGGTGTTCCCTAATTTGTTTGGTTTTTCACTCAAAAACTGAGGTGAGTAAGCTCAGATCAATGAATCCTATGATTAATCAGTTCCAAAAAGACATACAAAACTTGTGCTAATGGAAATAAAACAAGTTGAAGAAAAGAATGAACAAATATTTGGTAATAATATAACAAATTTTTTGCCTCACAACTTTTGTTTTTTCTATCACAAATGTGATAGAAATTTACAACTTTTGCCTCAGTAAACTCCTAATTTGCTGCATATTAATAGTTAGTAAGGTAGTTGTTAAGTTTAGGTACTGGGTAGGATTAGGGATATAGAATATGGTCATGCAGAATATGTGCTTTAAGTACTAATAAACAGCCAATATGCTAATATAATTGGTCCCTATACTAAAGTGTTACCCAATTTTGTGTAGGCTTGTCACCCTGTGTGAGCAAAGTCATTATGTTTTAGTACAATGTGATAACATTAATTAGAATTTTCAGGAGAAAGAATATCCTCCCCTGGTCAAAACAACCAGAACACAACATGGGGGTTAAAAAAGTTATAAAACGTTTTTTTTTTTACAATGAATGTGAAGGCTGAAGTCGCCATCATAAAGCTAAGATGTTCTGGGTGGTTGCCAGGGTGTTGCTATCGTGTTTTGGACAGTTTCTCCCTGACTTAAGTAAAATTGAATCCCAAACATGTCATAACATTAGTATTTTAAGAAACTGTTAAGAATTGTTATGCATCCACATAAAATATTAATGGTCCTTTGGCAATTATAGAAGTCATGCACACATAAAAATACTTTAGTAATATGAGTAAAACAACAGTTCTAGCAGTTTGGTGTAGTGCATACAATCTTCATGATTCTTGGATGAGAACATATTTCTCTGTTAACTGTTTTAAGATGAAGATGTGTGAGGGATGACAGTCAGACCGACCTGGTGAGCAGATATGGAGAGAAGGATGTTGGATTGTCTTGCTCTGAGAACAGCGGCATGGATCCACCCATTAACCATAAACGGAAAAACATGATGACTGTAACCTGCACAAAACGAACTTGAACAAATGAGCACTTGAGGTCATGGGGTTTGCACAAACGTGATAGAAATGCCAGTGCTGATTTAAATGAAATAAATGTTTGATAATGAAATAAATAATGAAATAAATATAATAATGAGAATAAAAAATGTAAAAATGTTAAAACATTTGAACATTAAATAGGCACTTGATAATTCATATTATGAAAGTTTAACACTATTTATCAGCAGTTATCAGCTGACAAAAATAAGTTTGAGAACCCCTGTTAATGTAACTTGATTGCTAATATTATTAGATTGAGGGACACAAAGCCTGGTCAAAGAGCACTTTTAAATTGGACAAACATGTGGATATGCCCCTGAAAGCAAAAGAGTCATCTTTTTTGGGGGGGTTAATTTTCCTGGAGGATAAAGACAGTGAATTTTAAATGCACATATCTGCTGGCTTTTAGTAGATTGCTATCACATACAGTAGATGAGCTCAAAACTAACAGACATGAACTAAAAGCCAGAAAACTTTGATTTTGCTTTTATGGGGTCAAACACCAGTTCAGATCTTTAACCACTAAGTCACATCACAGGGCTAAACTCAGAAGTTACCTAAACTGAGAAGCATTGCGACATTTGGCCGTAAAAACGTAGCTACTTACATGTAGCGAGATGACGCAAGCTCGTTTGACGAATGGGCTGGAAATTCTGTCGAGCTCCTTCAACCTGGAGCGCGACAGGTGCCTGGAATGAAAGCATAACCAGATGTGACAGTTGTTTAACGACTCCACAACTCAATCAGCTGATGAACCCATTTTCATTCATTACTGACTTAATCAAACCATCAGCGAATTACTTCACGGGTATATTAATCTGTTTACTGCTGCTTTCAATTAATTACCTCTCCATCTTGGAAAACAGAGCTGCAAGAAAACAAGTGAAAAGCTACACACAAACACTCTCACAGTCCTTATTAAAAGACTTTAAAATGCCACTCTAAACTGGAACGGCATCCTCCTTCTTTGAGAGTGCTGGGATGTACAGTGAATTTTAATTCAGCGTGACATGACACCATGACAGCTGACTGGAAATGTGGGTGAGATGAATGAAAGAAAAGAAGAGGCGAGAGAAGGAGGTGGGGGAGGAGCGGAGCTCAGGCCGTACATTGCACTTTTGCTGATTGATTCAGTAAAGAGTTGCAGAGAGCTGGGCTTAATGACTGTCTGTGTGTGTGTGTGTGTGTGTGTGTGTGTGTGAGCATCAGTGCATTTCAGAGCGTATTGTACTCCAGGGATCAGTAACCAGGCTCAAAGACAGCACTGTATTTTAAAAAAAACGCATGCCTCCCGCCTCTATTCTCGCCTTTTATTGCTATTTCCATTTTTTGGCGTTTTTGTCTGGTTACAAGAAAATGAAGAGATATAGAAAACAGGGAGGGGTTTTATACTAAACAATTATTGCTTAATGAATTTTAATTCATTAATTCACATTCCTGTCCTTATTGTGATTGATTCATCAGTGCATGTTATTAAAAAATACAAATAGTCTTGATAATGTTTCTCTACGTCTGAAACAACTTTCCTTTTCTGATGACATCATCAAGGCCACCAAGTTTCAACCAGTTAAGAAGTTTCCAGGTTTATTGTGAATGATTCAATTGTGCATGCTATTCCAAAGAATTTGAAATACAAAATGTAGATTTCACCACAATATAAACACTTTCACAATACAAACGACTTTCCTTTTACGATGACATCACCAAGGCCATCAAGTTTCAGCCAATGGGTAGTGGCTGTGCGTCAGAAGGGGAGGAGTCCTACACAAAATGCAAACTGGCACAGGAATTAAATCCTGTGGTTAAAATTAAGCCCTGTCTGACATGTTTCCCTTATTAAATATGCTCTTTCACTTGGAAACATGTCACCTTATGGGAATAAAATGTGTTGCGAATGCAGTTTAATTTTAAATGTCTCCAATTTGTAAATTTTTGCAACCAAGCATAATTAGACCCAACTATGAATATACAAATAAGATGTCAACATCTGCTGTGCCATTAAATGTGCCATAGCAACTAGAAATAAGACAATTATGGCATGTCTGCACCAAACAGTACAAATGCAGATAAACAATCATGTTATTGGAATTAGGAGCATTTATTTAGTTAATGTCAGGTGTTTGTGAGGCATTTGTAATTGATACTCTTATGAATATTGCACTGGTGTAGAGATACAGGAGAGAAAACAAGTGTCGGCTTATGCATTTAATAATAACAAAGCCCATAGGAGACACCCCAACCCCTTTACTGCAAACACACACACACACACACACACACACACACACACACACCAAAACGTACACGGAGAGACAGCATGTCTGCAGGCATTACGACGACTATCAGTCGCAATCACACACTCCACACTGTGTGTGTGTGTGTGAGAGAGAGTTTGTGTCTCATGTCCTCCCCAGGGTCACGGGTAGCAGCAAAGGTTTATGGGCACTTTTGAAAATCAAATAAAGCTGCAGAGCCCTCATTCCCCAGGGGGAGATGCAGACAGAGAGAATCTTTCCTTTGCTGTTCTTTAAGGCTGCAGAGTGTTATCATTCCAGCCAGCGAACCACAGCCCAAGTCACATGTTTTATATAAGTGTCACGGATGTTCTTTTCTGCTGCGTCTGTTAACATCCTGTTACTATGATGCCTGATTAGCTCATAAATATTCCTTTAAGTCTAATAATCTACCTAATAAATATACATGGTACTTTCATTGTATGGTGTACAAAATGAAAAAATCTAATTTTATTATTTTTCCTACTTTTTAAAAGTATTTTTAGTACTTTTTCAACAGATGGTTAGTAAAAGGAGGTGTTCAATCATTAGAGGCCGTCAAACTAAATAAAATAAAATAAAAATAAATAAATAAATAGCTCCCATAGGTTTTGCAATGCTGTTACTAAAATCTGGAACACGTCTAAACATGGAACATGATTTCTGTCATTTTCATTGAATAAACTTTAAATAAGCAAAATTAAAAAGATTATATTTCTTAAAAAACCTGCTCTAGAATGATGAAAAAGTAATATGGTTGCAAATTTAAGGATTTTTAAAAATGGAAAATAACATTAAAGGGATATATACAAAAATGTAGAACACTAAATATTTTGTTAAATATAAATATAATTTTTGGGGGGAAATTATTATTTTAATAATTATAGTTAATAATAAAAATAATTTAATTGTACGGTATAAATTCCATGATTATGATTGAGAAGCGGAATACCTTTGAGGTAGGAGGAATTAAAAAAAAATTAAACAATAATTTAAAATAAAAATAAATGTTAAACCCACTTTACATGCCGGTTAATGTTATTTTCGAAAATAGTTCATAAGCATATCCAATAGCTTTGACAACCACATGAGATGTGTGACTCCACTGCTTTAAAAAAAATGAAGATAAACAAATATCCGCATTTGTGAAATGTGGCGCATGCATGCAAGTAAACAAATAAAGGCTACAAACATCAGATTATTCATATTAAATGTCTTAATAATGGATTAAAGGAGCTTGCTACTGGATGTTTGATGTCATGTTTATCTGTGAGGTTATGTGCTCTGTGACTAATGTGGAGAAATAGATACATGTCTTGTGTTTTTGAACACATGGGAACGTCGAGAGAATTAACTGCAAAACATCGCCGGCACTGAACATAATTTAAGTGCTGTAGCGATATTGTAACAACCCTGTGGACTGTTTGTTGTGGTTTCTTCCCCTTGTGTTGGTTTAGCCCGTATAATCATTAGTTAATCACCTCCATTGTGCTCACCTGTCTGCCCCTCGTTATCTGCAATATATCTGTTCCTGTCTCTGGTATTGGTTTTTGTCGGTTATTGTGAATGTTACCCTGAGTGTGTGTGTCTCATCTACCCGAATCTGCCTTGTTGTCTCTACATTAAATATCCTTATTTGAATCCTTGTCGTCCTCGTCATCCTGCCTGCCTCCACACACCTTGACCGTGACAGATATAGACAACATAATGCATTACTGCAACATGATATACATACATGGATGCAAACGGTATCACAGATGGCGCAGCTGGCCAGATAACTTTTAACGTGCGAGTGGTTTCTAAGGTGTTTCTATGTGGCTGCTAAAATGTTCAGAGTGGTTAAAATGCTGTTATGACTGTTAATGTCAAAATAAAACCATAAAACCATGAAAAAGGGGTTTCTTTACACTATCAAAACGGCAAGGCTGGGACAGCAACTTATTAGCCTGGGGGGAGAGGAATGAGTATGGGATTTGTGTGTGAATGTGTGTAATGTTTGCACACAGCACTCAAGGATCAGTCTGGTATCTCAGTCGTGTGTCTCCTTCAGTAATGAGAACCCAAGGGCCAGTCAAGGGGTCCCTATCTATTTTCCACTCACTGATGAGCCCCTTTGTTCAGCTTTTCACACTCTCGGAGAGTGAAGGCCCACTGGACACAGAGCACATTTTAAGTAGCTGAGACTGTAATTGAAGCAAATGAGGTTGACACGAAGAGAGAGAGAGAAAGAATGAGAGAGTTTGGGTTGAGTCGGGGAGTGCGATTGCTGTTTGTCTCGCCTGATTGACTCTCTTTAAATGCCAATTACCACCACAGCCGAACGAAAGAGCCGAGCTGTAATTGGAAGATTGCTTTGCGTATTCTCCATTGCAGATATGTGCGTTGATCTTTGGCTAGATTGCCTGCTCACAATTTGTTTGGTACCAGTCAAACAGGAAGATTCTTTAAATGATTAAAGAAGTGAAAAACTAATTTGCTTTCATTTGAGTAGTCTACCTGTATGCAATAAAAAGACATGCGGTAATGAACATTTTGTCATTTGTGGTCATGCAACAAATAGATGATTATAATATATACATATTTTTTTAACTTGAGACAATATTCAATGTGTATATTAGAGGTCGACCGATTCATCGGTTTTGCCGATTAATCGGCACCGATAGTTGCTTGGCGGAACTATCGGTTATCGGCAAAAATCAATGTCGATAGTTTTCCGGGTTGCGTCTGTTGCTGGAGTGGCCGAGAAGGGTCCGCTGCCATTATACAGTACGAGAGCGGCCTCTAGAGGCGGAAATCACTTAACAGCACGTGTTGCTATCGGTATCGGTAAAATCCACTATCGGTCGACCTCTAGTGTATATTGCAATATCTTTGAATCTGCTCAGGGATTTTCCTTTCAGAAAAAAATTATTTTTAACAAACAGCCAAAAACAAACAGCAAAAATTTTTTTTTTAAATTTTCATTATTATATTACATTACATTATATTATATTATAGTGATATTGTTTACAGCACTTTTGACAATATTCAATTTATATATGGCAACATTTTTAAAGATTTTATTTTTTATTTCAATTTAGAATTTTTCTTTTTTTTACTATACAGCCAAACATTTTTACTAAAACAATTTCTATTATTTTTTTAAATTAAGATTATTTTATATTAAACATTTTGAATCTGATACAAAATGTTTCATAATAATGAAACTCATTATTAAATTAAAGTAAATTATACTGACATTTTGCACTGATTTACTTCAATTAATTGAACCTGCCACTGCATTTTTGAACATGAACGTAATCTAATGGCAAGCTTTTTAGAAATGGCTAAATAGAGCACATTAAATCATTGCAATATTCATGATGTTGCTAAATGTTTTACACAAAATAAAAGCTCTGTGTACATATTCGATTACGGAAATAGAACATACTAATTCGGTTCCCTGAAAGGTCACTACCCAAGGTCAGACTCTGTGTCGTCGGCATGCATTAGCATGTTTTGATGAGCTAAGCTAATTTTCAGACAGTACATACAACAGTCGATGTCTGTCTAGGGACTGTCGATCTTTAACCGTCTCCTAATGAATTTAAAGAGTGTCTGTGCTATGTGATCCGACTGCATGTGATGAATGTGTATCGGTCACTTATAGCACCGTCTCAGCCTTGGGCTGAAGATTGAAAGCACATGGCTGCTCCGATGCTCCGGCCACAGTGGAATTCTCCATAAACATTCCGCTGAAGATTTCATCACAGACGGCCTTCCTTGAGCCCTTTACATGCCATTTATATATACTGCACACCAGCGAGGGATTTAAATGACTGCTATTTCAGATCTAAATCAAAGAGGTGACCAACCAATCAAAAACAATTTGAGAATTGTTTGAAAAGTGATAAAATATGATCGAAACTCTGTCACGTTGTCATGCATGCTGACTGTAAAAATTCCAACACAATGACACACAGAGCTTTCCAAAGCAATGCTAGCCGACAATAATCAGTGTCCGCTAATATTATGGCATAGCAAACACACAAACACTTACAAGATGAGTGGTTTGCGGCACAGCACCAGGAAATCGTATAGGATGCACACACCAAACACCGTAACGCCTGTCTCTTTCACCAGCATGGCACAGGTGCCCAACAACAGACTGAGAGCCAGTGACAAGACGGACACTGTGGGGGGAAACTCGTCAGCCATTCTGCTTGCTGACACACTCCTGAAAGACAAAAAAAGAAGTGAAAGTCACCACATTTACACTACTGTTCAAACGTTTGGGGGGTCATTTTTTTAAAGAAATGAATGCTTCTAGTCAGCTAGGATGCATTAAATTGATCAAAAGTTACATTAAAGACATTACGTTACAAAATATTTCTATTTCAAATAAACGTTGTGCGTTTGAACTTTCTATTCATCAAAGAAACCTGAAAAAAAGTTTCCTCAAAAATATTAAGCAGCACAACTGTTTTCAGTATTGATTCTATTAAAAAATGAACAAATTCTAAGACTTATGAACAATTTAGAAAGTTAATGGCAGTAAAAAAAAAAGTCTTGGTTCGCGTGGTCTGACAATGATTTATCTACAATTCTTTAATTCATGGCTCTATTCATCATACAAATCATGATAATCGAAATAATAGGAACCAAATCATGACCAAATTTCAGATTTCAAGATGTATCGCAACGCAGGTTAATTGGATTATTTTAGTCAGATTTACAATTATTTTCAATAATATGCTGAAAACAACAATTTAGTAAAAAATCACAATCAAACACATCATAAAATCTGAAATTCCTCTATTGTTTGGTTTGATAATATTACACAAACATAACTGGAAGGACAATCTACACAAGGTTTCACATTCACAGATTAAACAACTGTATTTTGGACAAAAAATTAATATATAAATAGCTTTGTTTTTATAATTACAATCAATGATTACATTTCGTAATCAATGCATTACATTTTCATTGTTAGATGTGTTTTCTCACACTCTGATGGAAAATACTCTGCTGTTACCTAATATAGGAGAGAAAGGACAAGAGGAACAACACGCCGGCTAACACATCAGCTCTCCCAACAATCCCAGACACCTGTAACACACAATTATGACACATTTATAATCCATAACCGTGTTTTACTTGACAAATGTAGCATAAAACAGTCTTAGGAAAAAAATACATAAAAATGTCATTTTGCTTGAAATTTTAATGTCACAGTCATTGAGCCTCTCTCCCAAAATGGTTTGAGTGCTGACGCCCATTCCTGATGTCAGCCTGCATTCTAAATATATTCACTTCTATTGTGGCATAAAGGGTGGTGTGAAAGTGTGAACTGTGTGAGGAAAAGGTGGATACATGTGTGTGTGTGTGTTTGCAATGAAGGAGAGCCACTGCACAATTAATGATCACTTCTTTGTAAGACAAATGGAGGAGAGCGAAATCAAATAAGGGGAGAGAAAGAACGGGAAGGAGAAAACGAAAACGTGAGGGCAAGAGTGAGAGAGATTTATTTTCCTTTTATCTTCCCATCCCCCTAAAAACGTACATCATCCATAAAGTCCTCCTATCCTCTCCAATCTGTTTTCTTGCACTTTTTCCTGCTTGTTTTTGCCAGAGGCACAAATGCTAAAATGATCCCACAGTTGACACACTCCACATCTGGAGGGTTTCTGAAGCCCATCCCCCAGACGCAGAATTCCATGGAATTATACACACACACACGCTTCCAGAAGACACACCCTGGAGCAACACACCATACATGCACCGGTGGTGAGGGACACAGAGTGTGTGTGTGTGTGTTTTTCACTGCTCTGAGACATCATCTTAAATGTAAACATATAAAGCCCAGCGGCCCTTAATACAGCTCAGCGTCTGTGTGGTATTACAGTGTTTATGGGCTGAATACAGATGTAAATGCCGGGCCAGTGGACCTATCAGCAAATCTAGCACCAGACTTTCACAGTTGCTGTAATAAACCACTGTTGCAGACACAAAATCACCCACTAAAAGCATGTATAAATGCTGCCTCCGGATCATGTCGGAATAATATTATTTATGAGATAAGCGCTTGTAAACGCCACCCTAATGTCGTAATGCATCCAGCAACTAGGGATATTGCAGTTATCATTTATATATATTTTTCTATTATCCATTAATAAAATATTTGATAAGAAAGTGTGTAATTTCTAATTTCTGCACCACTAAAATTAACACTACAAAAACATAATTTATTGTATGTTAGTAAATTATTAATATTATGTTTTAATTTTATAAATTATATATTATACACACACACACACACACACACACACACACACACTTTAACACATACACACACATTTTTAAATAAACATTTTTATTTATATTACTATTTTATGTGTTTATCTATCTATCTATCTATCTATCTATCCACATACATATGTATGCATACACACATTTTAAAATACAGATTTTTCTATGGAATTTTTTTGCTTTTCTAAAACATTATCAAATATTTACATTTTACTTAATTGTTCAATTTTATTAAATTAAATTAATTGTATTTAATAAACATATAATTATATAATATTAATAATAATAATAATAATTGAATAATAAAACAAGCTAATTAAAATTCTTCAACATTTCTAATTCATCCTAATAAAATGATTTATATGCTAACTTTGAATTTTGCACATGTATATCAATATCACATAATTACAAATATCTGTGATTGTAACTAGGAACCTCCCAGAAGGACTGTATGTACAATCCAACACACACACACACAAAACCTGACCATGCATAATGCCATTACCCACACAGTTGTGTAGAGTTTGAATGACCCTGTACTTATCCATCATTCCATTAAACTTTTACATTATTTGTCACCTGTCCTCCTACACATTTCCCACTGTTTGTTTCAAACAACAGGCCATTACCAGCACTAATAATCTCTTATCCTGCCTCATAATGGAGCATTTCACCCTGGACAGTTGCAGAGAGTACACACACACTATACAATAAAAGATCATGTTCCTAATCTATTGTGTTTTAAGACATTCGGTCCATAAAGTAGATCCATGGATCTCTGAGGCCCTTTCAAAGGCGTGGATTAAATTGTGACTACTTCTTTCCCCATGCTAAGACTGGCGATTAAATACACACACGCACACCACACATCTACGGGTTGATTGTATATCAAGCTGGGGATCTGAAACGCTGCACTTCTCAGAAAGACCCACAGCTATACCTCATTTCAGCCAATTACCTAATTCAACAGGAATTCCTCAAGAACAGCTGCAGTCGGGCCCTGCCCTGCCAACGGAGGGTCCACACGCACACGCACACGCACACGCACACGCACACACACATACACACACACACGCACAGACACACACACACACACGCACACACACACACTCACACACACACACGCACACACACGCGCACACACACACACAGCATCCGACTGCTGCGAAACCAAATCTACAAACCGTTTTTCCACTCACACTGTAAATGTAAAACCTAAGAGGAACAGATAGTGTAGAGAAACTTACACAAACACACTTTATCGCACACGCACAGCTGAAAGCCGAGCAGGCGTTGGACACGAGCTGAAGTTCCTGTGTGACTTTTTTTTTTTTTTTTTAAAGGTGCACGATTGTGCAAAAAAGTTAAGATCAGGAAATAATATGACTCATATATGCAGAAATGTCTGAAACTGTATGAATGGGAGAGTAGAATAAGAAAAAAAGTGTAGCTAATGACAGGACTAAATGCATTTTTTCAATTACAAGACAGTGTGAGGACATGGGCAGTGGACAGCGGCGGGTGGCTGTGAGGGAGGAAGTGGGACAGATGGTCAGCAGGTTGCAGGCAGGCTTCAGTACAGTCTCCAGGGAGAGACAGAATGCCAGTGAACGCAGGCCTTTCATCCTCCATCAGGAGCCTGCTGATGCCTGTCAAGTGATGCTCCTCTCCACTAACAACTAGCCAATGGCCCTGCTGTGAGGACAAACCTTCGGTTGCAAGCTGAGCGATGCACATCTCTAGCATGTGCCGAGGGAGCTGATGTAACCTGATAACCTTATCTGATATCATTCACTATGATACTGACACCAAATAACCGCTATTTAGTTTCATGAAACACCATGGAGCATGTGTTCAAGGGTGAGGCAAATTTGAGGCAAAAAACTTTAGTTTTTTAAGGTGATAGATAGTGGAGAGTGAAAGCAAGAGATGAAGCATCACTAACAGTCAGATGTTTGGAAGAAGTAAGATTTTTGGATGTTTTTGAAGGAAGTCTCTTAAGACTGCATTTATTTGATCAAAAATATAGAAAAAAAACATTAAAATAAAAATTATTTTAAATTGTAATAATATATTTTAAAATGTAATTTCTTTCTGTGACGGTAATACTAAATATTCAGCAGCCATTAATGCAGTCTTCATTGTCACATGATCCTTTATTTTAATATGCTGAGAATACTATTTTAAATTGTAATATTTCTCAAATCACCATTTTTACTGTATAGTATACTGTATCTCCATCTAAAAATTTTATAAATTCAATAAAATTATATATTTTTGACCCCACCACAAAAAAGATTTATTATACATAAAAACTATATGTATAATTAAATAAACTATAAACTATTCTTGTATGTATGTATATATATATATATATATATATATAATATAACATTAATGATACTATTTTGTTCAGCATATATACATTTAAATTATGATGAAACTTGTTTGAAAACTTGATTTATGTTCTGTTAGAAAATGAAGCTAATCTGTGAACTGTATTCTCTGATACATTATGCCATGGTGCCCATTCAGTTAATGTGAGTTTGAATACAGCTTGTGACATTTTGCAATCCCATTATTCCCTCTTCGTCCATCATTTCTAAATTCTCATCTCTTGCTGTCCCTACCCTGAAAGTGGCAATAAATTAAAGAAAAAGAAAACTATGATAATTCCACAAACACACACAGAGAGTTGAGTAAAGCACCTCCTCTTTGTCTTTCTTTTATTTATCCAGAGACTAATTATATTTCTGCTTGATCAATCAAAACTCTGAGGACAGCACCTCCTCCAGCAGCCGTGTGTGTGTGTGTGATTGTGAGTCTCATTAATGCTGGTGGGATGCAGCTGTTGATGTATGGTGTTTACACAGAGCTGATGATTGGAGTCTGGCATGGACTCACTCCAAACAACCCAGCAAATGCTCTACTGTTAACAAACTCTGCAGCTCTGAAAGCGAAACTCAAACACAGTCCACATCTCTAGAAAGCCCAAAGAAACACCCTCAACTTTCACAGAACATTAAACATAGAATTCCTGAATATTAAATTAACTATTTAAACATATTCAATTTGAACATATATTTATGTAATTTATTTAAATAAATAATATATAAAGTATACACACACATATGGTTTATATATTACATGTTATATACATATTAAATATTATTTATAGCATTTATATCAATAGATAGATAGATATGATAGATATGAATTTCATTCATTTTTCATAACAATAAAATATTTTTAAAAATCAAATTTTAGTAAATTTTTTTATTCACCTAAAAATATATAATGTTCAGAAAATGCATTAAAATAATTTTGACCACAAGTGAAAATTATCTTATATTTGTGTGTATTAACATATAAATTGCATATAATATAATAATGTAATCTATAATATAAAAATATAATACAGACAGAGATAGATAGATAGATAGATAGATAGATAGATAGTTTCTTTGTAATAAATATTTTTAAATAATGTATTAAAATAATTTTGCCCAAATATAAAAATTATCTCATAATTAATCAATTAACTGGTTAATTTATTCTCCCTCATGTTACTCAAAAACTTTACACTCTTATTTTTGTAATTAGCATTGCACAGCCCTTACCATACAACAACATTTACGGACTCAGAATAGATTACAGTCGAAATAAGTAGAAATGCAGCATGTTGTGCATGTTCACTCACAGCTTCGGTGTGAATGGGGTGAACAGAGAAAAGCAGTGCTGTGAGGAAAGAGAAGTTGCTGTCTTCAAACACACACTGTTCGCAGGTGAGCATGAGCAGCACCGTCACCATGCAGTGCAGAAACACGTTCACCAGGTGGAAGTAGAATGGAGTCATGCCGCCCAGCAAAATGTTCAACCTACAGCGAGAGTGAAAAAGAGAGAAACAGTCACATTAAAAAGATATGAGCATGTCCATTTTGCTGGCTTCAACTTCTGCTGAGTTTTGCCAGATAATTGTATATTGAGCATCAGATATGTTCTGATTGACTATGATTGTGTTCAGTCATGCAGCATGTTCGTTTTTACTATGGACAGACAAATTACTTTAGAGAGGAAAGTTGCAGTTTCATGGTAAAAAGTGGATTTCAGGTCTGTCTCAGCACGCAAAACAAAAAGACCTGACTGTGGAGAAACCTCTGATGCTCAGTAAACACTTTTGCTTGACCTTGCAATGCGGAAGCACAGGAAGCCCTCAAAGAAAACGAGAGTGAGAGACCGAAAGAGATGAGAGAAGGGAACAATTAGCCTAAAGCAATGCAACATTAATGAGGTTCCATGGTCACCTTGACTTGCAGGAGAGCTTGCATTAAAATTTAGCAAGAGCACCAGAGGCAGAACATGGCATGGATTATGATGAACATGAACTCATTTCACAATACACTGAGATATAATATCACCTCAAACTAAAATATCATCATCAGGTTTTTAATGATTGTAGGGGGATTATATATATATATATATATATATATATATATATATAAGAGCATTTTCTATCTATCTATCTATCTATCTTATATTTGTATTTTATAATAGTTGTATATAAAATAATATTTGTATTTTAATGGATATTTATTTTGTTTTCTTATTTTTTTTAGCAATGTATATTTATATATGCTAGAAATAATAATTGTATTGTTTTCATTTTTTTACGTTTTCGTTTTTCTAGTTTATACATTTCATATATTTAGATTACCGGTAACTATCTTTTAAAGGTTTTCTTCACATAAAAAATATCATATTCTGAAATTGAATTCAAATAATTTCACCCCAATGAAAATTTGCTCATTATTTATTCTCTCTCATGACACTCAAACACCTTATGCTGTTACTTTCTTCTTTCTTTCTTTCTTGTTTATTCCCCTAAACCTAAGTATAAACTACATTAATATCGATGGCACTTGCTACAATCCAATTACCATCAAAATGTAATCATGAGTAGATGCTTAGCTTGTTTTACTCTAATTAAAGATGATTTTGGAGGGTCTCCCTATTAGGATTGTGAAAAGCACAAGACTTTGTCAGGATAAATGCCAGTTCACAGTACTTTCAGACCTACTTGGACAGCGTACTTTATTATGCGAGCATAAAAAGCTGTCCATGAAGGTTCTACATGAGTCACTGAATACACCTGCCACTTAATATTTAGCTCCGAGCTTGACGTTCAGCGCTCAGGGTCGAGACCAAGCCGGAGAATGAGAGGAGAAATGAGAGCGAAAAGGGTGACAGTTAATGAAATGATGGAGGGAAAACGATAATGACTGTGAAACAGTTTGTTCATCTGCAGGCAATGACAAGCCTGTGTTTGTTTAACCGCCGCTGATGAATGTGACATCGAGACGGGAGTGTGTGTATTACAGTCTCTACAGGAGAACAAGAAAATGTCTTCAGGCCTCATCAAAGCTGAAAATAAAAATCTAGCCATCTATCCTCCTGAGTGTGCAGTCTTTAGTTTCCATCAGACAGCATCATTAGGCCGTTCTGCAATCCCAGAGCCATGAAAAACTCTTGGTCACCACTAACATCACATAATTGCAATGCTCTCAGTGAGCAGAAAAGCGAGTCCAGTTGATTTGAGGAAACTATATGAAAGGAATGGTTCACCTCAAAGTGGAACTTCTGTCATTATTTACTCACCCTTCATGACATTCTACAACATTGAGCACTAGAGTACAAATAACAGGGGCTGTGAAGCTCAAACAATTCCCAATGTTTTGATATATATATATATATATATATATATATATATTGTGTATGTAATTTTTTTCTTCACAAAAATGTTCCAGCTCGATAGTTTCAGTGTGCAGGATGTAAAAATAGATGTAAAGGTCAACAAATGTTAGAATTTTAAGTGAGTGTTCCCCATCCTTTATGGTTTAGCCATTAATAGTACTGTGAAAGGAACACACTAAACTTAAATTGTAAATTACTGATAATGTTAACATCTGGATGAGTTATTTTTATTCTAGATTTGTTTATTTTGAATTTTTGTCTGCCTTTTTAAAGTTTAGCAGCCATGGTCACTATAAACTAAACTCTTGCTATGGACCAATTCTCCAAAATCATCTACTTGCATGCTCCAGGGAGGAAATAAGAGCATTTGGGTTTGGAGTGACATGATGGTGAATAAATAATGACAGAAATTTAATTTTTGTGTGAACTAATCCTTTAAATTTAGAGGCAGCTCTAGCGTTGTGTTAAAGGCTCTGCTCTAAGCTCAAACTATCTGTGCATGTCTGAGAAAGACAGCTGAAGTTTTTCAAGAGTCGGTGTCAAGTCGGCATTAAAGAGCAGATAAAAGACACGAGATACAAGAGCGACTAAGCTCACAGCTCTCTCTCGCACACACACGCCTGTGTTTTATCTCTTTACTCATACATACACACTGGGGAATGAGCAGCACCCATTCGCTCTCTCATGACATGCACGGCACAAGACTGATGAACGCCAAAATACTAGGGTTACCTTGCTCAAAACCTCTCCTCTAAGTATTAAACTTTGGCACGTAACGGCTGTCAGGGTGGAAATAAGTAGGAACCTTTTCCCAGGCCATAATAATGTGAGCCAAAAATAATATTTTATGTTGTTTAAATATAAAACATTTTT